GTGACCACTACGGAGTTGTCGCTTAATGCTGGTGCTGAAATGAATTTTTAGCTGAATTCTGTTGCAGACGACTAAATTAGTTGCTTAAGCTTAAAACACTTGCATTAATCTTGGGGCAGATTTACCCTTCTCTTTGAAAAGAGGCAAAATTCGTTATACATCGGTGATCTCGATACAAATTCGAGGACAGCACAGTATAAAAAGCACAATGAGGTACGTTTGGGTTGGTCCAAAAGCTGAGACCAATCCGAGTAGTCAGTTGAGGGAAACCGGTTGTAACTCTTAGAAAATTGAGGTAAAAAGTTCTGATTTTTGATCAAATTAAGCGTGGCTTGATGGTGACAAAGGGTCAAGTTGGGTACCGCCGTTACTGGTCCGGAAATTTGCGTTTGTTCTCGAGTAATTCAGAACTACGAAATCTCATTATCATTTTGCAATTTTTTACAGGGACCTACAGTTTCAAGTCGATATGCAGTCACAAATGAGCAGCGCGATGGAAAATGCCAAGGGAGCTGCCGCTACAGTCTCCGAGCGTGTCACGGATTTTCTGCAAGGCAATCCATTTGAAACTCCTGTTGGACGTAAAATCGGTAATTTCCTCACTTATTTCATTGTCTTTTGAACAGACAGAAGCTCAGGCAAATATTTAGTATTAAAAAGAAACTTATTTTTTACTTCTTTGATAAGCAAAGTCTGGAAGCGGAAAACGAGAACTGTAAAGGGGGATGAGAACAGTTGCAATGCACTTAAATTAGAATGTAATTTAGCGATTAAATTTTATAAAGCCATTCCGATTTTCACCTGGCCGGATTTGAAATATCTGCCCGAACTCTAGCTGTAAGATCCAGTGAAGCGCTTAATATTTGTTTATACGGAAAGAAAGAGTGCCCGGAAAACTGGAAAAAAATGGGAAATATTAGGCGGTTCAATTGGCAGGGTACGATTTTTAGTCAGGCAGATACAGAATATTGTCTCGAAGGCGTGGGGAGAGGGGAATTTGAAAAAATCTGCAAAATTCGGTCGAAAGAGGTTTTCGTGTAATGGGAATTGTATTCTAACGGAATTGTTTGGAGAATGTAAATTATTTAGCATTAAAACGCAAAAATTACTGGATTTAGGGCTGAACCGTTGAAATGGATGGGATGATTTTGTACAAGGGGAATTAAAATTGCAGAATGTGGAGCACTTGTGTGAGCTGTGACCAGGGACAGCCGGTTGGAGGGCCGCTACCTGTGGAGGTCAGTCTTAGACACCAGGACAACACTGTAAACTTCATTTAACTGAACTTGCTGTTAAATAATAAATTTGGTCGCTCAGTTTCCCGATCATTGCAGAGATGGCCACAGATGCGACGATACTTGAAGCTGAAAATTGGGGATTGAACATGGAGATCTGCGACTTCATCAACAGCACTGTCGAGGGGTTCGTGCCTTTTCCTTGTCTCGATTTCAGTTGATTTGAGCAGCGGACACGCCGTAAAAACTGAGGGCGAAGCGTGCTTTTACGATTAGTTGTTGCGGGCCTCAATGCGGGAATGCTTAGTGCGCTCGGGTCATACAGTACTGCCGTTTTGATTCATGTGATGGTTTTGAATTGGTCGCTATGCGTCTTAACTGTAATACCATCTGAAATGATAAATTGCAGCCGTTGGAAGGCCGAATCGTAACCTTAAAAGAAGTAATCGGTCGGAAGAAATCAAAATGTGAAACGGCCGGAGCCAGAAAGTTAAAACGAAGGATGGGATAAAATTAGGTCAGGCACAGTAACAAGACCTGAAAATTGATAAAGTGCCTTCTTAACCATGAGATCTCGAAATTTGCGTTTTTTCTAACGTTGCGCAGCAAAGTTGTGGAAATTTTAGTTCTTTGAAGTTGAATTTGAGTTTGTGATTGCTGGTCAGACAGAGCACGGTCAAAAACTCATCATTTTAGAAACACTACAGTCTGAAATCGGTTCATTTCTTCATTTATCGTGCACCAGAGATTAAAAGTCGAGAATATTATTTAGAGTTCTTGATTTTGTATTAGCCTGTTTTTTTCCATA